AGTCAGACTCACACTCGCACACACACGCATATTATATTAATACTAATATTAAGTCAAAAATTAACACAGATAAGTTCTAACAGTTGATAATATACCAGGGTCGCGGACCTTATCTATTTCTTTGCCGTTTAATTCATAAGTAATTGATTCGAATAAATGCGCTCCGACGTTATTTGATAACGTACATTCTCCATCTTCTCCCACATTATTTGATAGTTTAAATTCACATTCAAAATAAAAGTATCCATTGCTGAAGTCTATTAATAAATCTTGCTGATTTATAATAATTTCAATCTCATTGTTATATGAAAAAGAATTAGTTTGGGTATAGTAAGTGTGTTCCTGTTCTCTAATGATGTCATCATCAAATATTGCTTTTTGAAATATATCTAGTTTCTCTGACATGGTAACCAAGTTTCTTCAATAATTTTATATTAGCGGGTGTTACTGATAGTGACGATGCTGACGTAACACTATGATGCGGTACTGTTGTGTGACGGTTAGATACTGATGTTCTAGGACGCCGCCCACTGTTTAATATACCTGTTGTTAAATATTGTCTTAAATTATGATGATGGTTACTATTATGCCTAATTATTAAACCCATCCTTTCTTAGATATAGCCTAACAATTATCTCTTCATCTCTAAAATTTATTAAATCTGAATTTTGATCTAACACATTCACAGTTATATTACCAATGAGGTTATTTTCAATAACTGGTAAATATATGTGATTATTAGGTTCTAGATTTATTGTCTACGCCTCCGCCTGTGGTTGGATATTTGTTGAATTAAGGTTTTGGGGTCCCCGGCTAGTGAGACTCCTGGGAAGGCGTAGAACGTTGTAATGCTGAGAAAGTAGCTTTCTTTTTGTTTTTTTTTGCGAATTCTTTTTATGGGTTGACTTTTTGTAAAAAAGTCACAAAAACTTTCGTAGAATAAATAAAAGTCGGGTTTATGGATTTAACGTGGCCCGATATTCAGTTGTCGATATGTTTGTGGAGCGCGGTTTAAAACAAGAAAGACTAACGACTCAAGATTCTAAACTCTCAAAAAACTAACTGCAACTGCTGTATGTGCTGTCTGTAACTATAACTGCAAAGAACTAACTGACTCTAACTGCAAGTGGTGTAACTAACTTACTGCAACTGCGAAGGACTCACTGACTGACGACCGCGCGTGTAGCCGTGACGTCACTCCGAGACAACGGTGGGCGGAGCCTAGCTCTACGGCACCGGACCGTATAAAAGAGCGGGGGTGTACTCGCCTTCGCTTTCGGTAGGGAGTTTTTTGTGTTGGATTTATTTTATTTTGTTTTATTTTGTTTTGTTTTATTTTGTTTTGNACCACAAGAAGCCGCTGAACCCGCGCGCCGAACTCGGTGGACACTGACCATGTGACGTCACTTCCGCTGCAGAACCGGCCTAACTTATCTACTCTCAGACGACCTTAGGTCGATTACCCTGACATGACCTTGAGGTGACCTTGACCCCAGATGACCAGAGGTCGATGACCTTGACATGACCTTGATCCCAGACGACCGGAGGTCGAAGACATTTTGGTGACCTTGACCCCAGACGACCAGAGGTGGATGACCTAGAAATGACTTTGACTCCATACGACCGGAGGTCGATGGCCTTGACATGACCTTGATGTGGCCTTGACCCCAGACGACCAGAGGTCGATGACCTTGACACGACCTTGAGGTAACCTTGGCCCCAGACGACCAGAGGACGATAACCTTGGCATGACCTTAAGGTGTCTGACCCAGACAACCGTATATCGATGGCCTTGACATGACCTTTATTAATAAAGAATTATTAACTGTTCTCCAAGAAAATTATGAATACCATCTGCAAAGTTATAAGAGCTTTAAAGAAAGTTTACTTTTTATGGGACTAGCCGCAATACCGATGCATAATGCAAAACAAATTTTATGTGCCTTCAAAAAGTATGCGCCACATTTTGGAATGGACTTCATAAAAATAAAATATCCAGGAAATTTATTGGTTATATCGCCCCGTGATGTTCATAGTAAAGATGTAGAATGTAAGTGTTGTGAAGTTTTACAGTTTCTCTTCAATGATAAAATCGAACCGGTTAAACTTAAAAAGGAGGTGTCTACGAACGCAGTGGTTTCGGACCGGTTGGCGATGATGACGTGGTTGGGGGTATCCCTAAGAATCCCCAGAACACGCTGGATGCGTGCAGAAAGCGTTTCTGCACGGCCGCGACTGCTTCTGCAGATGTCGGGTTCGGCTCGCGTTGAGGAACGATAGGTGTAGGGTTTCCCTTAATTAATAAGTAAAGGGGAACTTGTTACGAATTCTTTTTTCCCTATTTTGTGGAATGGCAGACCAGGCCGTACCACAAGCTGAGGGGAACAGCCTTAATGTACCCCGAAGGGTCGCTGATACTCAGTACTACTACTATTTAAAAAATTGGTAGCGACTACTAGTCACTAAAGGAGCGGACAATGAGAGGCTATTCGATTCAAACACTATAATACAAGTGTGAAGACCAACTCAGAGATGCTTCTCGTGTCAAGTCTCGACTGAGAGTGAGCTACCGAGGCAAAACTCGGTGTGACGTCACCGCGACCCTACGTCGTAGTTGGGGGCCGTCGAAGACGATCCCTATCGCGGTTTCGTTTGCCCTGCTAGCCCCGCGGTCTACTCTGTCCCAGGCGTCGTGGTAACCGCCGACGGCGTACGACCTAGATACCGGTTCCATATTGATAAGCCAGACGCAAGACGTTGATTGTTCGCTAATCGTTGGAATTCTTTTTAAACCTTTTCTACCTTACGAAATTCTTTCTTAAAGTTGGAGGTATACTAGTGACGGGCCTATGGCCTCTTTTCAAAACTTGGTTTAGGAACGTTCTTTTTCCAAGGAGATCTGTTTGTTTTTCTCCTGCGTTAATTTTTTTGCCTTTATTTTTTTTTCGTATCACTTGGGATCTCTTTTTCCCTTATTATTTTTTTTAGTTGAATTCTTTAAGGAATTACCACCAGGCCCCAGACCCAGATTCTACTATCCAGTAGAATGACTACCTTGAATTTACTTTATAAAAATAATATCTGCAGGTCCCAGACCCGCTTTCTATACCAATAGAAATGAAACAAATTCTTTTTGTAAATTTGGTACTATAGAAAAAGCGATACCGCCGCTTGTATGAGGAGCTCCGCACGCTAGTGAGGCTGCGACGCGAATGAGCTAGTGCGGCTTGGCTGCGGGCACTTTTATACGTTCCGGTACGGTAGAGCTAGACTCCGCCCACCGCACCGAAATCGACGCTGAATATGACATCCCCCCGTCGAGACAAGCGTACGGCGATCGTTTTTTCCTCTTGTACCCTTTATTGATACAAAGATCACCTGAAAAACACAACTAAAATATTACATCCAAAAACAAAATATTTACAAGTCAACAAAACAAATTCAAAAACTCTATACAAAATCAAACACAAAAAGGTACATTAAAAAAAAACAACTCAAAAATAAATTCTCCGGCGTCACCACTGTGGTGACCACCGAACCTGGTCCTGCGGGACGTCGGGCGTCGTTTTTGGCCGTGGCTGGCCAAGTCGACACCTACGGCGGGGATCGCCGTCGTCAACGAAGGTATCCACCGTGGCAGCGTGTCGGGGTGCCAGTGGACAGTCTTCCGACACGCTGATCCTATTTCCTGGACTGTCGCGCCAGGGTGCCAGTGGACAGTCTTCGGCGCGACCGCTGTCATCTCGTGAATATCGGGCCAGGGTTCCAGACTAATAACGTCTGAACCGGGTGCTCCAGGTCTTGGAATGTTGCGCCAGGGTGCCAGTGGACTATCTTCTGGCGCAACGGTCCTCGTCATGGAAACCTCAGGCCGGGGTCCTGGATTGTCGCGCCAGGGTGCCAGTGGACTATTTTCTGGCGCGACTGTCGTCATCTCTGGCGGCCTAGGGGACTCTGGGAGTCTGGGACCTGGTTCAGGCAGCGGCTGCTACCTGCCTCGTCCTCGGGAATAGCATCTCCTGATTACTATTGGCTACTGGGGGTAGCTGCATTGGCTCGGGGATGACCTGGATCTCGTCGTCAAGCAGGCAGCTCCGGCTACCTGCATATCTCCTTGGAATCGTGGCCATCTGGGTTAAGTCGTGCGATTGGTCCGTCACCGTAGGCGAACTTCGGGTCTGGCTAGTCGTACTAACGTCGAGCTCCGTCGCCCGAGCGGCCACGGCTTCTCGGAGCTCAACTCCTGGGGGCGGCGTCGATCGCGGCGGCGAAACGGCTACTATTATCACGCGTCGGCGGCTTGGTCGTTCGGCTTTTCGTCTTCGTGGCGATGTCTCGTCGGTGCGCGATGGGGGCGTTATATTAGGGTCGCGGTTTACTACAATTTCCGGCTGGTTTCCGTCGTCAACGCTGGCGTCCCGGCTCGAACCCACGCCATTTCCCAACTTTGGGGGCGCCGTTGCGTCCTGATCCGCAGGACTAGGTTCTGCGTGGCGTCGCGTTACATTCGGATCCTCCCGGTGTACCATTGCCTCGACCGTAATTTGTTGGGGCCCTTCGTCGCCGTCGTCATCGCTGATGTCCCGGCCGTCTTCGCGTCAACACTTGTTCTCCTCGCATATAGTGTCTATCAGCCTCCCGGGGCTCCGGAAACAATTGTCGTTGATACACCTCCTGTCTACGTAAGGCGCGAGTTATTCTGTCATCCCGCGGCTGCGGCTGCTCGATTACTGGCGCAGGAGCCGTCAGTAGATAAGCAAAAGGAGATCCAGCTCAATTTGCATAATTTAGGGGTGAAGAAGATGTTCAGGGCAGATTCCCTCGAAGATGTGTCATTTTCCCGCGAAGAGGGGTTTTAGATTTTGAAGATGTAAAAAAAGAAGAGGTTCCGGGCAGATTCCCGCTAGGAGGGGTCCTTTAAAGAAGATGTAAAAAAAGGTAGGGGTTCGCGGCAGATTTCCGCAAAGAAGGGTTATTTCGAGNCTTTTTTTACATCTTCTTTAAAGGACCCCTCCTAGCTGGAATCTGCCCGGAACCTCTTCTTTTTTTACATCTTCTTCAAAATCTAAAACCCCTCTTCGCGGGAATCTGCCTCGCAATGACACCTCTTCGAGGGAATCTGCCCTGAACATCTTCTTCACCCCTAAATTATGCAAATTGAGCTGGATCTCCTTTTGCTTATCTACTGCCGTCCATACTCCAGGTCGTTTCAACTCTACCCCAAACAAAATTTGCGTTGGTGTCGCTCCCGTCGCGACGTTGCGTCGATTGCGAAGCGCGAACAAGGCCTGCGGCAATTTCTTAGGCCAACCCGCCGTGTCTCCGTACACTAACGCGCGCAATGTTTTCTTTAGTTCCCGAATTCGTCGCTCCTCCGGGTTAGCCTGCTGATGATAGATAGCAGACTGTACGTGCTCGATGTGATGTGCCTCCAGGTATTCCCTCCACGGTTCAGACGTATAAGTGCGGGCGCTATCAGTTATAATCGTCACTGGATATCCATAACGAATGAAAACATCATGTAAAAACTCCACTTGATCGTGGGTCGTGGCACGACCCGTAGGTTTGGCCTCCACCCATCGCGAAAAAAGATCAGTCAACACCAGAAGGAAACGGTGGTTTAGGTCGACTCCCTCGAATGGGCCCAGGACGTCCAGGCTCACCATCTTCCATGGTGCCTGGGGTGTCCGCGATCTTAATGGCGCCTTCTCTTTCGGCCGCCCTACCTTTACCGCTGCGCACACCACACACGACCTGACCCATTCGGCAACGTCTTCATCCATTTCCTTCCACCAGAACTGCTTCCGTGCTACTCTTCGCGTTTCTTCGCTACCCGGGTGACCGGCGAACTCCGAGTCGTGGCATTCCTCCAATACCTGCCGCCTTGCAGACTTCGGGACGTACAGCTGTAACGTCTCGTTCTCCTTCCATACCAAATTTTCCCACACCGTATACTCTGTAATCTGTCGCGTCTCATCATCATCTTGTGGACCCACTAACATAATTCTATCTAGCCGCAATTTATCCCGTTGGACCGACACGTCGTCTAACTGCACTCTCTTCACTATATCAACGATTGTTTCTTGTTCCATTTGCGTAAACCAGTCTACATCCGAGTTGGTTTCCATATTTGCCAGCGAGTTTCCCGTCGTGTCGCCAAATGGCACCTCTACACTCGCTGGCAACGCTGCCGACTCTGGGCTGCCTCTGGTTACTGGGGTCCACCGGTTCGCGGTGTCCTCCCAACGTCGTGGTTGCTGCCGGCTACATTGTTCTGGGGCCCGGTGCGCGGCTGCACCGCGGCCCCGGGGTCGTTTCCCCGCTGTTGCTGCTGAGGGCAGTTACGGGCAAAATGCTCGCCCCCGCAATTGTAGTACGCTCTCGTCATCGGCGGCAGTGGTCTCTCGGTGCATTACGCGAGCGGTCTTCTCTAAGCTCGCCTTCAACTTGGCCCACGATCTCAACAAGGGCCTCTAGACTGGAGTATGACCTGCTTCGCATAATGGCTCGAGTAGCCGGACGTAGTAGCTCCAGGATATGTACCGAACGGTCCGCTGCTGTCGTAGGCGCTAGCCGTTGGAATAACGCCTATTTTTCCATGATAAATGTGTACGCGTTTTTGTCAGGAAATTGCGGACGACCGTAAAGTTGCTTGCGCAAATTCGCACGCACCGTTGTGGAATCGTACTTTGCTATAAAGCGCCATAACTTTTAAAGCCGCGACCTCCTGCGTTAAATTTCTCACCGCTTCAACTAGGACTAGACTCGTGTCCATCGTTCGCGTAGTCTCGAGTGACTCTTGATTTTGTACTTGTGGGCGCCACTGGGTTTCACGTATGGGCTCACCCAGAACCCTCGCTGGTGTCTCGTCTAACGTAAAGTCCCAAAGCCGATCCTCTGAAGCCGTAGATTGCAAAACGCGCGTCGCGGATCTGATGAATCCATCATCTAACGTGTTGTTCTCGTGTCCCCAGGTCACGTGCGCATCGCCGCTAATTCCGCCCTTATCGCGTAATTATTCCTCGTGGTTTGCACTGTGGGTAGCGCGGACATCTTCGCCATGTGACGCGCGAATATCTCCATTACACACGTAAGCCCCACGTTGGTCAGCGCCATGTGACGTCACCGCGACCCTACGTCGTAGTTGGGGGCCGTCGAAGACGATCCCCATCGCGGTTTCGTTTGCCCTGTTAGCCCCGCGGTCGACTCTGTCCCAGGCGTCGTGGTAACCGCCGACGGCGTACGACCTAGATACCGGTTCCATATTGATAAGCCAGACGCAAGACGTTGATTGTTCGCTAATCGTTGGAATTCTTTTTAAACCTTTTCTACCTTACGAAAGTTTGAGGTATACTAGTATACCTCCGGGTGACGGACCTATGGCCTCTTTTCAAAACTTGGTTTAGGAACGTTCTTTTTCCAAGGAGATCTGTTTCTTTTTCTCCTGCGTTAATTTTTTTGCCTTTATTATTTTTTCCGTATCACTTGGGATCTCTCTTTTTCCCTTATTATTTTTTTTAGTTGAATTCTTTAAGGAATTACCACCAGGTCCCAGACGCAGATTCTACTATCCAGTAGAATGACTACCTTCAATTTACTTTATAAAAATAATATCTGCAGGTCCCAGACCCGCTTTCTATACCAATAGAAATGAAACAAATTCTTTTTGTAAATTTGGTACTACAGAAAAAGCGATACCGCCGCTTGTCTGAGGAGCTCCGCACGTTAGTGACGCTGCGACGCGAATGAGCTAGTGCGGCGCGCCAATATCCTTGGCAGGAAAAATGACCTCAGATGAAGCGGGGTCGAGCGGGATTATCGCTGTTTACCCACTTCATCGCTTTAGGCCCGGACGCCTCGTAGAGGTACGCCCTTTCTCCGTCATTCCGGGCCGCCAACGCGGCCGGATTCGATCGGTTCAGGGGGCCTGTCTTGGCTGGGCCCCGCCGGATAGGGCCCTTTCTTCTGGCGCTCTTATTTCTTCGCCGGCTCGTCTGTGTAAACCCCCGGGGTTGTCGTGTATCGGTCGCAAACGACTGTCGTCGTTTGGGGGGAATATGTGTGTGTGTGTGTGTGTGTGTGTGCGTGTGTGCGTGTGTGCGTGTGTGCGCGTGTGCGGGTGTGCGCGTGTGCGCGTGTGCGCGTGTGCGCGTGTGCGCGTGTGCGCGTGTGGGCGTGTGCGCGTGTGCGGTGTGGGCGTGTGTGTCTGTGTGTCTGTGTGTCTGTGTGTCTGTGTGTCTGTGTGTCTGTGTGTCTGTGTGT